TCTTCCTATTGAAAAAACAAAAGTTGTATCCAAGATGGCCGACTTCTAAATGGCCACCATGGTCACCACCCATCTTGAGGAGTTTGTCCCCTCACATATACTAATGTGCCACAAACAGGACTTTAATATCACCAACCATTCCCATGTTATTACAGGGTATCCATATAAATGGCCCACCCTGTATATATGAGATTTGGGATACCCTTAAAAGGGTCATCTCAGGCACACAGATGTGACTGTTAGCACAGATGCACCCCCCCCTCAAAAAGTCTTGATTTTAAAGGTCTTTTATGCTTTTCTTTTGAGTTGTTTTTTTTTTTTTAAATAAATGTATTTCAGCAATTTAAAAAAAAAAAAAGAAGCTTAAATCCAGTTCTGTATTCATGAAGACGACGTGCAGGTCTGCAACACTAAATTTATTATCTGAGACAATGAATCTTTATTTATTTATTTTTACAGGTAGTATTGTCATCTACTCCATTTATGAACCCAACTACGACAAGACTACAGCACAGCCTGATCTCTACTGCAACAAGGCTTTCTACCTGTGTGCATTTTGGCTCACCAACGTGACGTACATGCTGTTAGCACTGCTCTTTTTATCGTGTTGCTGTTGTAGACAACGAGAGCCCGATAGTGATAATGAGACTCAAACACTTGTGCGGTAATAAATAGAGACGAAGCAAACTTAATTAAAAAGATAAACATACACTGTAAGGTAAATGCGGGCAAATGGTGCATTTAAAGGCAGTTTTCCTGTTTGTCTTATGTAGGTATAATCAAATGTTCTATTGAGCAATGTACATGTTTGATCTTTTATCAGAGAAATGCAAACATTTATATTCTAAGTAATTAAACTTGGGGGGTACTCTTTTTAAATACTTTTGCAACAGTACTCTGTTATGTAATGACATCCTTAGATATGAATAATATCCTTTTTTTCATCCCATTGATTCTCTAATAGGTCAATTTTATAAGCTTGTGAGCGCAGAAATACCAAATGTGTGAGGCTGAATACTGAGGAAACATCATAGAAACACTTAGAGAATATATCTGTTGATCCAGTAACAAAATCAGAGAAAGCCCGGAGTCTTGAGTGAAATGATCATTAATCATAAGTAATACATGTACATAAAAATGTCAGTGTAAAGTGTACTGTACTAGGCATCTTGAGTCTTCAGCCATTTATATGCCTTCACATTTCTCCAGGAAGATCAGAAATAGGTGAAGGCATTTATTAAAATGTACAAACATACAAGGAAACAGACAGTATCCAAAGCAAAAAAGTTTTTATAGTCCTAACGAGCTTGAAGGTCAATATTTGATATGATCACCTTTATTCTTCAACATGGGCTGAGCTCTCTCCAGCAGTTTTCTTGACATTTCTTTAAGTAGTCTTCAGGAATAGTTCTCCAGGCTTCTTCAAGGACATTCAAAGCTGCCCTTTGTTCTTTTTTTCTGTCAAGATGATTGTATCCCCCTTGTTGATGCAAAAATACCTTTAGAAAATATATTTTTTGATCAATCTCAACAGTCAGAGAATGCACAGTCTTAAATGTAATGATTATTAATCATAAGTAACACATGTCATTGGTGCAAAAATACCATTTTATATCTGTCAAACTGTTGTGTCCTTGGTATTTTTATTAGATTCATCTTAAAAAAATTGAAATCATTCATGTGTTTGTGTGGCTGGCTCCTAGTAAAACAAAAGTGCATAAAGATTGTTCTCTGTCGAGTTTATTGTTATGTGTAGACCAGTGTTGGTCAAGTTAGTTGAAAATAGCAATTAGTTATTAATTACTGATTACTTCTACAAAAAAGCAATCCCGTTACTTTACCTATTATGTTTTTTCAAAAGTAATTTGTTACTTTATTAATAAATTACCTTTTAAAAATATAATACACAACCTAAATGCGTAATAAAGCAATAGACCTTTCAGCCCAATTCTATTTTTTCTGTATAATCCATCATATAAAACTGAATCAAATGGAAAAAAGTCTCTTTTTAAAATTTGTTTTACGAGTTTTAATCTTTTAACTTCATGCACAATGCATCAAGCAAAAATTAAATTATATGCAACAATCTTTAACATTTAAACCTATTTTCTGCATATTGCAGAATATAAAATAAAATATTTATTTGTGTTTACACTTACACTTTCAAATAGATGGAAGTAAAACACAGTAAAAAAAAAAATGAAATCAAAGATTCAGCAGCACTAAGTCCTGTTGCTCACCTGTTTAGCAGGAGTGGGGGCTGGTGGAGGTTTGCCCGGTGCCGCAGGGGCCATGTCAGTGGGAGGATCTGGATGTTTCTCTGTGAATTTCACATTCCCGTTTTGGCTTGCTAGGTGCTTGCTCAGATTTAAAGTTTAATTTTTCGCTGTAGAAAGAAGTTTTCTTCCCACGCAGAGTGTACAGCGGACACTAATGTTTTTGTAAATTTTTGCGGACTCAAACTCATAGTAATGTCAGTACTTCCAAGCTTTAAACGCTGGTAACGAAACGAAAAAAGTAATCAGTCTGGTGTAGACACGACGCAGCATTTTTCAAGCTTGAATGACTCACAGGCCAGTGTTAAGTAGCTCAATAAACAAAACAAAAGCATCTCTAAATGTAAAAGGAATGAAAATAAATGAAAAAGAAGCCGATATCGAAAGAGAGCTCAAGACAGCATTAGCAAATTACAACAAATTCTGACTGCTTGGAAAAAGAAATGAGGCATGGCTGAAGACTTTAATACAGTGCTGAATTATTTGTTGTCATTGAATGCATTAAGTCTATGTTAATGTTACAAAATGCATGCTGTCATAGTATTTTTCGCACTCAACAATCAATTGTAAAAATGTCACTGTGGGAATGGAAACAGGGAATGTATTTTAGAAAAGCAGGCAAACCTCGTCCTGTGGAGAAATACGACATAAAGATGTTTATGTAGCGAGGTCTTAGTGGGTTAGGACAAATGAGAGGAAGTGTTCCTCTCCCGAGGTTTTGCTGTGACAGACACATTGTCAGTTATGTCTTTTTCTCTTGTCTGTGAATGCAAAAGAGCTCCTTAGGAAAAGAAAAACAAATACAAAGATTTTGTAGTTTTTATGTAATGTTGCTGACATACAAACAAGTGATTACAATACAAAATCACCTCAGTAAATGTCTGGATGAAAAAAGAAAACTTAAACAAAAAAACAAAGTGAAAGATGCTGTAAAAGGAAGTTGAAAGAACATGCTGACATGCCCATGTTATATGTGGCCATGTTCCTGCAACAGTCCTTTTCTAGGAAGTCCTGCCAGACACACAAACAGGTTGGTCTGCAACAGCCTACATAACACTTTCACACTTTAATTTGCTAACTATTTTGACATATGCATGAGGTTTACAAGCTTTCTAAAGTGGATTTCTTGTAGAATTGTCTTTTTGTTGAACTGTTTTGGTTAATCTCTAAGAATCTAGCAGTTAGCATTAATAATTTTCTCTTTTCTCTTTATTTGTGACCTAGATTCTTCTGTACGCTGCAAAAGACAATCAGTAAAAAGTAGGTAACATGCTTTTCCATTATCAGTTTTTTCCTTCATTTTAAATCATATATTGTAATTTTATTCAAGTGTTATATCATGGTACCTTTTCATTTATCACTTAACAGAATAACAGAAATATAAAGTGGAGAATATCTTGTGGCTTTCTTTGTTTTGTTATAGGTTTGATTCAAAACTAGTTACACATCCTTATGGTAGACTTATACTATAAAAAGAATTTAAAAAAAAGTAAAATTCAGTGTCTTTTTTCAGTCTAGATGTTTTTATTTGCCATTTAACAGATGGAAAAACACCACAAATAGCTGATCGCTTCCTTTGTGTCTTTTTAGGACAGATATAAAACTAGTAATAATGCCGGAGAGTGATCGACCACGATGCACCTCCGAACCACGAACAACAATATTAGGTGAGAGGCTGATGTGGAAATTCTTCCACACATGTGCAGACGGTGCGTAGTGCTATATGGGACTCACTGTATCTGCTCTTCTTCAGGGTGTATCCTGGTGATTTCCTGCATCATGTTCATTGCTCAAGTGATAGCTGGTAAGTGACAGACGCTGTTATTGTAATGATCAGTTTAAATTCATCAGAATTTTATTTTGACATTTGTTTCTGTTTTATCCCCGTACACCACAGCTTTAGCAACTGATGAATGCAAAGGAGAGTTGTACATCCCCATATGCATCTACAATTATGGATTCATATCTGCATTTCTGGCACTGAGCATGTGCACAGCGAAAAGAATGCAGCAGTTTCCAATTACACCAAGAAAGCAGTTGCTGTACCTGCTGCACCGAGGGCGGTGCAAGTGGTGCAACATAGGCTGTTGCTCTGTGCCCCTCCTCGTCGTCTGTTTCTTTTACCTTGGTGGTAAGCTTTAAAAATGTTCTAACAGCAGCACACACCTGTTTTAAGAAATATTGAAAGATGGAATAAGCAACAACTGAGAAAAATCAAATTACATGGTGACCAAAAACAAAACAAAAGAAAACGCAGAGCTGCTGTTGAACTTGCTTAAATCATGAGTTGTTTTTTCTGTTTTTCCTGTCATAAACGCTGCTCAAAAAGAGACACTTTTTAATCAGAGTGTAGCATCAAGTCGATTAAGCTTCTGGAAATAAGCAGCTCTGATCTGGTTAGTTAAGCAGCATGGGGCGTTGCTAATCAGTTTTAATCTGGTTTGGTGTTATAGTTTTTCTCAAAATAATTGGTTTCATTTTTGGTTTTTAATTTTTCCCTTCTCATCTTTTGTGGCTGATTCTTAGTAAGTTTTTTCATTTGGGGAGCGTCAGTGTCCCTACTGGTACAGACATTTTTAATTATGTAGAAGTACAGATACCTGTGTTTTGAAAAGCTCCAGTAAATGTTGAAGTACTCATATAATTTCTTTACTTAAGTAAAAGAGAAAAAGTACAGACAAGTTATACTCTGAATAGTAATAAAAAAAAACAGGTTTGTAGTTTATATTGATCTTCAATGAATGAGTTACTGTTGTTGTTTTTAACAATGCACTACAGCAGTATTTTAAATATTTTTACAGTTAATGTGTTCATGTACTCGGATGTGAAACCCAACTTCAATAAGAGCGTAACCACAGGCATTATCTACTGCAACAAGACGTTCTACCTGTTTGCATTTTGGAGCACCAACCTGACCTACGGCCTGTTGGGGCTGCTGTTCATCACTTTTTGGTGTTGTAAACGACAAGAGCCTGAAGGCGAAGATGAGGCTCAAATACTCGTCCAGCATTACCACACTAGGATCCTATGGTTCACCGTATAGTCTAATGTATGCACTTTTAAAAATTCAGGTTATCATATTGCAACAAAACTATTACTATATGCTTCTTAATTGGTTTTGCCTCGTAGAAAAATGTTTGTTTCTACATTATTACCAGTTTCTGTGCTGTTTTTAAATACATCCATGTAATGTTACTTATGTATAACCACTGTTGATACCAGGTAATTACTACTGTATTGTATTTGACCAAATTCCTGTGTATTTCGCTTGAACTTAAAGTTGAAATATATTTACCAACAAAAACTTAGCATTAGAAACAGCAGATCACGGGAAGAATAATTCAAGACTTTGGAGGAAAAAGTAATTATACTAGAAATTAAATTAAATAAAAGAAATTTAAGTAGTTGGTAATTTGCAGGTATTTTAGAGGTGGGAAGAATCCTTTTTTTTTTACATTTTTATTATGAAATATATTGTTGTGCGTCCTGCCTCTCGCCCTATGACAGCTGGGATAGGCTCCAGTCCTCCTGTGACCCTGAATGTGCATCATGAGAATTTAACTATTTAATTGTGCTCTTACACTCTTACACTATATATACAGTTTATATTAGACTACATCATGTAAAATGTAATAGGGACTGTCCTACCATTTGTAATAACAACAACAAACACTGCATAGCAAAGGCCCATGTGATCTTCTAATGACGGGGTCAGGTCTAATTTGATTTTCTTCTTTCATAAACACTGTTCCACCATCAACCAGCAAGTTCAAAAGGACAGTAAGAAAACTACAAAACACTGAAATAACATAAATTGAGAAAGACTCCAATGAATTTTTTTTTTTAGATGCAAACGCAAAATTGAACACAGCAGAATTAACAAGAAGTCTCTAAATCTTTTGACAGACTTGAGAAGCAAAAGGTCTAGAGACTTGTTGATGACCCCTGGAAACCTCCAGTCAGTTGGTTGCGAGAGGTTGGGGGCAGTTGCTAGATGAAACCGTGCTGGACCAAAAACCTTGTGTTTCCTTTGGATGCAAGCAGATTGCTGCAGTCCCCAACAAGAGCCAACCTTCGACTTGCCACAATAAGAAATGTAGCTCATTATTTTTCAGTATACCATTTGTTGTGGCACTCTGGTGGTTTTAATGATTTCTGTTCTTTTTACTTCCTTCATTTAACATGTTTGGTTCTCTGATACAGCCCTGATATTTAAGCAGAGTGCACAAATGTTCACTATGCATGTGGTCAGTGTTTTGTTAAAGCTATTCAAGAAACTTATAGCTTAGAGAGTCATTATAGAGAAATGCAGAAGCAGAATTTTCACGAACAGAAATTTCCCAGTGTTTTTTGCTTCTAAGTCCCTAAAATGGAGCTTCAAACTGAGCAAGAATAAATATTAAGCTGGCTGTGAGTTCAAATATT